GATTTAATACTGAGGAGAGCTTGGGATGTGCTAAACACACAGCAAGCGCTCAGTAGGAAGTGTTGTTAACATGTCTGTTTCCTGAGGCAGCCTGTGGAGCTCGTATCCTCTCTCACCCCTGGAAGTTTGACTGGACCTGGAGCTCAGGGCTTCAACAGGTTCTCTTCCCTCCCACGTTCTTTACCTTCTGGGATCAACTTTTAATTCTGAAGCAGCTCTGGAACAAACCAGTTTTGGCACGGTAGAGTTTCCAGAATCCCGCTGCCCTGCAGGTTAGGAGAAAAGGACAGGATGCCTGGTCCCAGCCACTCACATCCTAGGCGGGAGACGCCACCCGAGTTTCTGAGTGTGCGCTTGTGAGTCAGCACAAGTGGCCGGGCGTGGCGTCCCTTCCTTGCCGATGGCGCTCAGTGGAGCTCAGTGGCCCCGGCGCAGGACCCCAGAGGAGCCTGACTCGGCTCTTCGTAAACTGCACAGCTCTCAAGTCGGTATTTCAAACTTGCCTTTTTCAAACACCAAACCGCTGTTCTGAGTTAAAATATGATTAAAAAATCATCACAGTCTACCGCGGCACGTGAGGAAGCCAGTGACCTGGTGAAAGGGCAGCCATTCAGTCTTCTTACCAGTTACGGTGAAGGCCTCAGCAGGCGGAGATGGTTCCTGTGTGGCCAGGGGTTTGTGAGCACGGCGTAGTCACGGAGCGCAGCTCTTCAGGAAGCTAAATGCAGCTGTAGGGGCTACGACAATTTAGTGCCAGCAAAGGTAAAGTGTAGACTGCAATTCAGGTTGAGAAACTAGATTTTTAAAAAGCCAGCTCTGCAGATCTCTTAATCTTGCTGAGGAATGGTCGGTTCCAATTCATTCTTCCAGCAGCATGCCCCGGCCCTGGGCCCCAGGCGGGTTATGCTGTGTCTGCCCCAGCAGCAGGTGCTTTGGCCCCACAGAAGCAGTAATAGATTCCTTCACTGCAGCCTGAAGATGGCAAATTTCCCTACTCAGAGCACACGAAATGCTCCATTTGTGAATTTTCAACCCATACCTGTGAAGATGCAGATGCGGGAGAAATGATTCTGCTGAGACCGTGGAGCAACGGGGTGTGAGCATTTGCACTGCGCTGACCAGCAGACCTTAGTGGAAAATCGGTGCTTCAAAAGGGGCACCGTGCCTATCCCCTGAGCTGGCGCAGCTGTGGCACAACACAGAGTCCTGGGGTTGGAGCAAGTTCTTCCCACAGGTGGGGAAGCTGAGGTTACATGAAATTCTTTAAGATCTGGACTTATAAGAGAAAAACGTGCTTGGGTCTGGAATAAAAACAAACTCAGATTGTTTGTCCTATTTCAGCTTCACAACAGAGATCGCTGCTGTGACCTCAAAAGGTGTGCGGTGGTACAGGCCTGTAATCCCAGTATACTGGGAAGCTGGAGCTGGGGGATCACGAGTTTGAGCTCAGCCTGAGCAACTTAGTAAGACTATGTCTCAAAATAAAGAAATGAAGGACTGGGGATATAGCTCAGTGTCAGGGCCCTGTGTTTAATCCCCAGTACCAGAACCAAAACAAAACACAAAACAAGAAGAAAAAACACCAGCGGGGCGCCTCAACAAAACAAACCACTGACAACACCCACCACCAGGAAGCAGCAAAAAATTCTTTTTTTTTTCTCCTTTTTGAGGCAGGGTTTCACTGTGCGGTTCAGGCTGGCCTTGAACTCACTTTGTAGTCCAGGCTGGCCTCAAACTCACAGCAATTCAAATTCTGTTGGTCAGTGATGGCAAACATGTTAGAGACCAAGTGCCCAAATGGAAAGCCAAAACCTGCTTGCTTACAGGAAAGTACAAGCAGTGCAATTAAACTTGAATACTGAAGTTTTAGTTTAGAAGAAACAACTGTTATCCAGCGCTCGGCTGCTGGGGTGACTTGGTGCATGTGCCGGCAGAGGGCGCTGGGTGTCCCCTGTGACGCATGTGCCACAGGCTCGCCACCGTCGCTGTAGGTTGAGGGCTCAGCCCCCAAACTCAGACCCCTTCTGATGCAGCAACAAGAGTTGGAGTTCTCATGACCGCCTCTTTAGGTTTGAGTGATTGGCTAGAGTGGCTCACAGGACTCAGGGACACTCGATGCCCTTACGGGCTTATTGTGAAGCGTATTTTAAAGGTGACAAATACGCAGCCAGATGCAGGGACACCTGGGCTGATCCAGAAGGACCACCAGCAGGGGGACAATCATCCCGGTGGAGCTGGGCTCTGATCTGCCCCGAGTCAGTTCCTGTCCACCTTTCTGTCAGCCTTCATGTATTCAGATGCCCTGAGCGCTCTAAGCCCTGTCCTTTGGGTTTGAATGGTGGCCTCCGTGCATAGACGTGCGTGAATCCTGGACAGTCAGAGGCAAATGTGACTGGATGAAAGGAGGGAGAGGTGGGGAGCCCGCATGGTCTGCATGGCCTCTCTGGGCAGCCATCCTTCCTCCCGGATCTGGGGCAGGGTCCCTCTGAAATGGGACTTACAATCGGGTATCAGACAGAATAGGTGCGAGAATTTCATCATGGTCAGCTCCAAGACAGAAAGAGGGGGAAGATTAAAGTATGTGGCTGACTTTGTGGAAGAGAATTCTCCCTTCCATGGCCTTGGGGAGGGAGTTACGAGCCTAGAACCACTGTGAGTGGCAGGAATGTAAAAGTGGCCTCTTGTTATCTGACCGTTGTGTTGAATTTTCATATACACTGGTGTGTATGGTGGTCAGAGTAAGAAGTGGTAGACTAGGTCGTTTGAGTTGTTTGTGACTGCTGTGATCAGGCCATATGACCTCGGGAGATAGGTTACTTTTTGTGTCATTTTTAGAAACAGGAGGAAGATATTTTGAGACGGTTTTTGTTCTTGGTTTCCGCCTGGGGTCTCCACCATGAAGCCCCCATCAACCGCACACCGCCTCTGTGGTATGTTGTGCATCAGATATATATGTGCTGTAATTTTTTGAATGGACACAGATGGAGTAATGATTTAAAAATACATAATGGCAAAAAGATACGAAGACTTCAGCAGTGGTTTATAGTTTGTATTTCATTAGTCTAGCTGCTGACTTGAGGTGGTAGGCGTCTTTGGTGTTGGAAGTGGTGTGGTTTCCCTAGCATGAAGTTAATGAAGGTCCTTTTAGCTCAAAGTCTTGGTCTTATTAAACACACCATGTCTTACTTACTTTGCATGTAAAAGTAGATTCTGTTTCCTTGAAAATCATTTTAATACACTCCTTTGAATCTAGTGGCTTCTGTTTGCTCTCTCTGGAGCCACCTAGTGGGAACATGGAGAAGTGCATCCCATCTGTTCAGGCTTTAGTCAGTGGTAAAAGTTAGGGATGGGTCCTTTTCCACCTTTGGCTCAGTGCAGCTTCTGAGGGAATGAAAGTCCTTGTCACCCTCCTGGAAGGTGGATCCTGGGGTCATAGATCTGTAGACCCATTTCTACTAATTCTGAATGAGAGCAGGCTGGTTCCATGGAGATGCAGGTGGTTTCCAGTGTTATGTGACTGGAACCCTCGGGTTGGGATTCTTTGGGAGAAATAAAGAACAGGCATCACTGCACTTGGTTGAAAGCCACGCTCAGGTTTCCAAAGGCTGTCGGGAACTGCCCTGAACCATCCTGGCCGTGTCTCTTTGATTTCACTGTACCCCTTGTGTCTCTAGAGCAGAGGGTGTGAATCTTTAGTGCTCTGACCCCCAGGGCCCAGCAGGGTCGACACCCAGTGAGGTCAGCTTGAGTGTTTTAATCTTTTCATTTTATGCAAGAATAGGATTATTTATCATTGTCTAAATTAACAAACCAGTTTATTAACATTGTAACAACTTGAAAAACTTAGATGTTTCTTAAGCCTCCAAGTTTAATTTCTAAATACTGGTGTTCTATTTACAACTTCATAATGCTTCCATAAAAATAAGGACATTGACTCTTATGGTTTAACGCATGGCTTATTAACACAAGTTAACTGATTAAACTCTCCAAATGGTTTTACTGTAAATTAGTTCCTCTCACAACCTAGTGAATTAAACAGATGTGAACATTTTAAACTGCATTTATGATTGTGATCCGCCTGATTTTTCCTGAGCTATTCCAACCTCTAAGGCTGACTAGGAAAGCTAATAGATCACACACCTAAGGAGCCCTTAGAAACTTAATAAGCCTTCCTCTTGTGGTGCCGTGGATTGAATGCAGGACCTGTGCAGGGCTGGGCAAGTGCTCTAACTCTGAGCTACACCTCCAGTCCATCAGGGGAGCCTTTTTTGAAAAGATGTTTTTAAGCCTTTCAAATTAAAATTGCAAGTCTCATATCAATTACACATTTCAAATTAAAACCTCAAAGGTTTGTATTGTGGACTTTTCAAAATATTTTAATACCTAAATAACAAGTGCACACATCATTCCAATGCTTACAGAATTAAACCCATAATTGAGTTTATGCCTCCACTTAATGAGAAGCTCGATATGCTTTGTATCTCTTTCCCTCTGCCGTCCCTCAGGCCAGCAGAGGTGTCAGTGCTGAAGATCCTTGACCGTGATTCTGTTGGTGACAGTGGGAGGTTTGTGCCTCGCACCTCAGATGGGTGCTGGAGCCCAGCAGGAATAGCAGCTGGGGTCCCACGTACCCTGAGCTCTCCCTAATCCAGTTCGCTGTGCTGTGTCAGTGGGAATCCGGGCTCAGACCTCCTACCTGGGACTTTGCTTTAAAACCCCTCACTTCTTAGTCACTGTCTGTATCTTTCAAGTTTCACTCTCAGCCAGGTGTGACTGTCACCCCTTACGACATTTACTCATCCGATTTGGGTGTCTGGGGTTGTCTACCCCACTTAGGTTATGGTTAATTTCGCTCAATACCTGATAAGAGTCAGCTCTTTTCCTTACCTCTGACTGGATTCTGTGTTCTTTTCCTGTGTACCTGGTTTCTAGTCTGGTGCTTGGTTGCAGTCCTAGAGTCATTTTATTGGCAAGCTGTCATCAGCGTTTGTTGTCAGTGTTGAATGCCTGTATGAACTTTGGTAACAGGGTACGAGGGTCTCAGTCACAGGCGGAAGCCACTCATTTCCATTTCTTTTAGCCAAACCCGGCCATTGCTGAACTCTGTTTTCCTCCTAACACCCGCGACCTCAGCTCCAGATGCACGTGTGGAAATCCCCGGGAGTTAGGATCCTGCGCGCCTGGGCTCCCCTCACACCTCGGGATTGGGAACCTCTCCGGGCAGCGTTGTGCGCTAAGTGCAGTAGGTGATCATGATGCACAGAGAGGTTAAGCACTGTTACAACATGATTGTGAAGCAAGAGATTTCAGGTCATTGAGGAAACTTCCTTCTCCCTACCCCCATTTCATGGAAACAGTAAGGGGAACAGAAGAAACAGGAAGGACCTGGTGATGCACAGCTCGCCACATCCTTTAATAAGTCCATTACCAAGGTGACCACTGCGTGGGATGTACAGCCTTTATGATGTTTGTTTAAAGTGGCTTAAAGTACCATGCGTGGGTCACCAGCTGACGCTCGGCTGTCCTGACCGCCGGGCCTGGAAGCCGCACACTCAGTGTCTGGGTCCTCATCCAGGTTTCTGCTGATGTTCGCCACGGTTCTGTGCAGCCACTACAACTCGGCCCTCACCACAGCTGTGGTTGGAGCCATTAAGGTAAGTGGTGGGGCCTTGGGGCGGACACCCGAGCTGGGGAACTGACTGTGACCCAAACTGTGCCGCAGAAGCGGAGCTTAACTGTGCGGCTGTTGCTGATGGAAATGGAGTGAGAACGGAGGTCGTGACATTTTCAGCTGGGTCCAGGCGGCCTCTTCTTACTACTTCTGATCCTCCAATGCATAAAACAGTGGGGTCTTTTAAATTTTAGAAAGGAAGGATAAAGTACTTCTTTTAAATTGGGGTGAATAGGAGGGGATGATATGGGGAAACGAAGTAGAGAGTGGAGAGAAAAATTCCAAATGTCTGTGCTCACTTTGCGATATGCAATTTGGTTTTTTGGGGGAACCTGCCCACTGGAAAGGGAACCCGGGAGGGACTGGTTTTTTTTTTTTTTTTTTTTCCGGTACCCGGAATCAAACTCACCACCTTGTGCTTGCCAGGCAGGCGCTGTGCCGCTGAGCTAAATCCCCAAGAAGGGACTGTTTTCAACCAGATCCCTGCTCAATTACCAAGCAAGGAGTAAACAGGGGTTGTGTTCTAGACTCTGTTCTACAAGAACAGCTTAGTTTTTAATGTTCGTATGAACTCCTAGCATGGTAGGAGCCTGCCTGGGTCAGCAGTGGCCCTGTCTGCCGACTGCGGAGATGCCTGGAACACGCTGGACAGAGTGGGGCCTGGGGTCTGGTCCGCGTCTCTACTCTGCTCAAGCTTAGGGCCCCTGTGACTGCCGCTCACTACCAGTGATGGTAAAGACGGGAGCTGGCAAGCTGATGAAGACTCAGCTCTGCCATCTTTTGCCCGAAATAGGGGGAGTGAATAATGTACTTTATGTTTCTACCCCAGTATCTTTCTAAAGCCACGCATAATGATGTTTATTTATTTATTCAGTATTTGATAAACAGCTACTTACAAGTTTCTATGCAAAGTACTTAAAATGTCTACTTTTAGGTTCTACTGTATGTATTTCCCCCAAATCCTTCACTTTTAATGGCAAATTCCCTTTTTTGCAGAATGTGTCTGTTGCGTACATTGGAATGTTAGTTGGTGGAGACTACATTTTCTCTGTATTAAACTTTGTGGGATTAAATATTTGGTGAGTGAGATTTTTTTAAACAAGCTCAATTGATTGCAATAAGAATTTTAAACAATGTGATTTATATGCAGTAAACTAAAGTGCAAAGAGAAATCTTGTATTTTAACCCAGAAGGTATTTTTACATTATAGTTTTGAAAATCATTTTGTTTAAATTCTCAGTTCCTGTCTTTCTTTTTTGCTGGTGCTAGAGATCAAATGCAGGGTCTCAGACATGTTGCAAGTGCTCTACCACTGAGCTCTGAGCCCTGCTCCAATTTCTCTTTTTTTCTGTATTTTGCTACCCTCATTATTCCTGGTGGGAACGGTGTCATGAACAGTCGCAGGGCCAGGGTCTGAGTTCATTCCCGCAGCTCCCTCCCAGCAGCATCCCCTAAGTTTTCTGCCTTCCTCCTGCCCACTGGGTCTCATTAACTTGTGCCTTTTCAGAGTGCCAGATCCCAAGGATGCCCTAAGCATTGACTCACTGGGATCTTTTTAATTTTTGTACTGGGGATGGAACCCAGGGTACTCTACCACTGAGCTACAACCCTAGGCCTTTTTTTTTCTTGTTGAGGCAAGGTCTCAGTAAGTTGTCCAGGCTGGATTCAAAGTTGTGATCCTTCTTTCTCGGCCTCCTGATTAGCTGGGATTCCAGGCATGTGCGGCTGACTAGGACACTTGTGAAAGGCATTCTGGCGTCCCAGACCTGGGCGCCAGTTTAGGAATGGAATATAGTTTGTTCAGTAGAAAGCAAGTGTGTTTTCTGAGGTTCTGTATTAGCTTTGATTACTGTTTCTGCCCCCAAAGGTTTGTGTCTAGGGGGAGAAATTGTCATCGGGTCACCTACAAACCTTAGGGACCCCCAGAGAGCTGAGTCACCCCCTCCCAGTCAGGCTTTTATTTATACAGGCGTCAGCTCTGCTCTCAGCCCTGGAATCCGCAGGTATTTATTCAAGGTTTTTCTCCTTTCAGCATGGCTGGAGGCCTGAGATACTCCTTCTTAACCCTGGGCACCCAGTTAAAACCTAACCAAACTGACGAGGAAAACGTCCCTGTGGACACAAAGAGCTAGGTGCTGGGGCAGAATTGCAGAAGACCGGGCACGGAGGGCGTTTGCGGCCGGATTGCACAGCCAGAGGTTTCACACTTGAGACCCTCACCACCCTGGTCAGAGGACAAACGGGAACCTCTGCAAATCACAACACGACCTGTGTGCCGGTGCGCAGTGAGTGTGCAGAAGGAGCCCTGGGGATGGCAGCAGAGGATGCAGTTCGCCCCACCCCTGGTAAAGGCGCCACCACAGCCAGGTGCTATGAGAACGGCTCTATTGCTTTCAGTTTCATCAAACATCTATTTTAATAAAATCGGCCCATTAATGGACAGGAAAGTTATTTGTTAGCATTGATATAAGTTATACTGGCATTTCCCCCTAATCATCGGGTAAAATAAAGTCATTTTATGAATGCCTCACCCTGTGATGTTGTTGCAGACAGGAGGGAAACAGTCCGTCAGTTTCAACACAGAACACCCCAGCTTCATGGGACAATGAGATACTCCTTGTGTTATGAGAAATTACAATAGATCTCAAAGGAAAAAATGCTCAGGGTGAGTCCTGTCAAGTGGCTTATCTGTCTCTTTCTGCACATCTCCCTCCAGGTTTGCTTCAGGCTTTAACCAAAGGTGCAGTTCCTGAGGAGCTTGCCTACTACCTGGACAGATGGACAGATGATGGTTGGGAGGGAGTCCTGATGGATAGGGGTGAGCTTTGACCTCCCCATCAGGAAATGAGCAGTTCCCATCCCAGTATGAGGCAAGTGGGGGGGCAGTGGACATTTTACCCTATCCTTCACCAAAAGTTCAGGTCTTTGCCCAGATAAACTGGCAAAAGACTGCTTAACAGGAGAAAAGGTTGCCAGGCATGGTGGCACACGCCTGTAATCCCAGCCCTTGGGAGGCTGAGGCAGGAGGATTGTTGTGAGTTCGAGACCAGCCTGGGCTACAAAGTGAGCTCAAGGCCTGCCTAAGCTGCATAGCGAGACCCTGCCTCAAAAAGACACCCTACCCCCCAAAGAAAACAGGAGAAAAGGCACCCAGATTACTTACCATGTACTTGTGCATGGAGCCACTTAAAATATGAAATTTAAGGGCCAGGTGGATCAATTTCATAGAGGAGAGGAGAGAAAGGGTGGAGGCTGATTTTGAGGGGTAGCAAGTGATTATTAGGGGAACCAACAGGCCTGAAGAACAGAGAATGGCTAGAGACAAAGGCCCTCTGGACTCTGGTGTGGTGTTTGATGTAGTCTCCTCCTGTGTGGTAGGAGCTCAGTCTTCTTGGCCAGTGGAGCTTCCATAGGAAGACTGAAGGCCGTTGTGTTCTTCTGTGGTGGATCCGGTCTTTAAATTGACAAGTTACTTCAGAGAAGATGCCCAGCCTACATCTGAAGACCTCTGAGCCTTTGACGTGAAGCAATCAGTACACAAAAGTGCCATATTCTTGAGTTGCTGTTTTCTGACCTGACACAGGGTAGAGCCCCAGTCTGGGAGCCAAGAGCCCTTCCTTCTAGTCAGGTCTTTACTGGTCACCTCCAGGACCTTTACAAGTCCCTATGTCCATCGTGGCTTCCAGTATTTTACGCTCAAATTCAAGTGAATCACTCACCCGCGGTCACCGTCTAAGTTCCTAGAAGCTGCGCCAGAGGAGGCAGCAAAGGAAGAGACGACAGACAGGCCCATGTATTGCTTCTCTTTACTTTTTCCAAAAAGTTCTTTTTAATTGTTGTAAAATAGACAATAACATTTATGATCTTAATCATTTTGAAGTGTACAGTCAGTGGTGTTAAGAGTATTTATGTTGTTTTGCAACTGATCTCCTGAGCCTTTTCATCTTGCAGAACTGAAACTTGGTACTGCATTAATCACCACCGCATCCCTCCCTCTTGGCCACCACCAGTCTGCTTCTTGTCTCTGGGAATCTGACAGTGTAAGACACTGTCTATACAAGGGACATCATACGGTATGCGTCTGATAAAATATCCTAAGGTTCATCCACATTGCAGCATGTGTTAGAACTTCCTTCCTTTTAAAGCCTGAGTCTATTGTGTGTCTGCACCATCATTTGTTATCTGTTTATCCGTTGATGAACCCATGATTTGCTTCTACATTTTGCCTCTTGCCAATAATGCTGCTATGTGTATGTGTGTGCGAGTATCTCTTCAAGACCGTGCTTTTAATTATTTTGGGTAAATACCCAGAAGTGGAATTGCTGGATCGTATGGTAATGCCATTTTTGATCTTTTGAGGAGCTGCTGTACTGTGTTATTTTTCCTGGTGGCTCTACCCTTTCCTTTCCTACCAACAGAAGTTTTAGTTTCTCAACATCCTTGACAGAACACGTGTTCATTGTAGTAACCACCCCAGTGGGTTTTTGGCTTTGATTTGTGTTTCCTTACTTTATCCATTAGTGACATTGAGCGTTTTCTCATGTACTTGCTGGCCTCTCGTGTGTCCTCTTTAGAGAAGTGTCTACTCCAGCCCTTTGCCCATTGCTTGATCATGTGAACTGTGGCTGAGCTGTAGGAGCTCCTTGTTGTTCCAGTTTACCTTTAGAAGTCCACAGAGCGTGATGTTGGTGCTTCCAAATTACGGTCCTACCTCACGGCATCATTGTCTTTTCTGAAAACTGGAGACCAAGACTACGGAGCAAACTAGTAAAAAGTAGCTTTTGCTCCTTTTAAAGAGTCAACTTTTTTTCTGGAATTCTGAAAGGAAGAGGATTTTGTTTTACAGCCTTGTCACTTGCTCCCAGAACTGGCCAGAAGAGGGAGCCCTAGGAACAGCCCTGCGGCCCTTGTAACTGAGTGGAAAGTTGGAACTTTTGTGGTGCTAAAGAAGGAGGTTGAAAGGAGCTACAGATCAGTTTTTGAGTTAAGGTTTGTTGGATGGAGAGAGGTGCTAGAGCAGGGATCGATGAGTATCCCAGAGGGTGAAGAGGAAATGTGACCTGCTCACAAAAACAACCACCGGAGAGGACAAAGAAAGGTAGTTTAACTTCCTTATATGTGCGTTCCTGACCACTGTTGCAAATAGCAGTGACACCTTTTGTGAACTTGGACTTTTTTCTGTTTTAGTTTTTTTTTTCCCCTACATTAAATATCTTTTTTTTTGATACTGGGAATCGAATTCAGTACCTTGCGCTTGCCAGGTGGACGCTTGTACTGCTGAGTTATATCCCGGCCCCTTAAGTATCTTTCAAGTGCAAGAGTCTGGAGTTTTTGGACATCTGAGGTTGCTTAAAGAATAGGACTTAATTTAGAAAAGCTATTTAAAATATACTTTTGTGCCCTGGAAACTAGCAAGAAGCTGAGTTACAGCTACATTTCAGTTTTTAGCAACTTCTCTACCTATAGGAAAGATACATTTTCATGACAGGAAACCTTAAAAATATAGAAGAAGATTTGTTTTTAAAAAATCCATATCTGACAATCTAGTAACCACTGTTAAAATGCAGACATTAATCTCCATATTTCCACCAACACAAAGAAACTCAAAAAGGTCCCCAAATATTCCAATAATTACACTGTTTTGTAAACCAATGGTTTCTAATTTTTTCTGTTTTTTGACTTGAGAACAATTTTAAAATATTTGTCTAAAGCTAGATGTGGTGGCACATGAGTGTAATCCCAGCACTGGGGAGGCTGAGGCAGGAAGACTGCCATGAGTTTGAGCCAGCCTAGGCTACAGAGTGAGTTCAGGGACAGCCTGGATGACATAGCAAGACCCTGTCTCAAAAAAACCGAAAAAGAAATGTTTTTCTAGTATTTTTCCTCCCAAGAGTACAAAGTCTAATGAATTCATGAAGGTGGCAAAGCCAAGGCATAGGACAGACGGAATCAGGGGTAGAACCATTAACCACATATTCTGCCTTTATCCCTGCAACAGCTTCTACCTGCTGACAGGTGTATGGGACCAGAGACAGCAGCATGGGCTGTGACTCTCTGGTGGGGGGGGTCATGCAGCTCTCACTGCCTCTAAGCCAGTCTGTGCTCTGCCCATCTAGGCAGCTGCACGTGCTTCTTCAACAGGTGCACACATGGTTGGGGGCTTTCTCACGTGGCTCGTGGCTACCTTAAAACCTGACAATGGAGAGTTATATAAAATACTGACCTTGGGGGATGCTGAGAGAGGGATATGTTGGAAACTCCCTGTACTATTTTCTGCAAGTTTTCTGTAAGTACAGTAGTTGAAATAAAATGCATTTTAAAAAGGTGACTTTGTCTTTCTGGGAAATTTGGGGAGCTCATTTGGGTTATCAGTGAGCAGGTGTATACTCCCCCCACTTAGGGAAGAATGAACAGCAGGTCAATACCTTGAGCCCTTGAGTGACCACCTAGGCCTAGGCCTAGCCCTAGAATTTTGTTTAACCATAAAAGAACATCTAAGGATGGCAGCATCCATTTTTTATTTATCCTCCCTACATCTTTATGCTTTCAGATAATGAAGGCCATGATTATAGGGCTTTTTATCAGCTGGACATGTGATTGTCAGTATTCCTATCTGGGAAGGAACTTTCTCAAAAGCTGCCTCCTTTTCTCTTAATGGAAAACACCTATCTGAAGCAGAGAGTGCTCAGAAAGCTGAACTGAAGTCCACTCCCGTGCTGGCACGATTTCTCCTCATGAGCCCTAGAACTACTGATATTCAGATAGTGACAAAAGCACATGTACAGAGGTCATTGCTTCCTGGACCCAAGAGGCATGTATTGGGGCTCCTCTAAATGAATGAGTTTACTGACAAACTCCAGAGTTCCTCACATTAATTTATATTTGTAGTAGTTAAGGTGCTCCAAAATGTACTGAACGCAGGAAGATACAGCACCAAGGAGGTCTAGCAGACAGTAATTTTATTACACAGGTAAGCCTGATTGGGAAACCCTCCCAAAGAGTCAGAGCCCCACCTGGTGGGGTGTCAGGGCTTTTAAGGGGAGAGCAGGTGGGAGGTACAGCAGCAGACTTGGTACATTATGATTGGAGGGTCGAGTGACATCATAGGTTGCCAAGGCAGTTCAAATACCTCAGATTATATTGCAAGGCCATCATCAGCCTCAAATTACATTGCAAGGCTATCAGTTACACAAAGACAATAAAGACAGGGTTACACAAAGGAAGAAGTGTTCCGTTATCAGGCTTGCCTTGGTGTGTCTGCTTGGTTTTGGCAGGCATTCTTGGAAGGTCTTTACTTAAATTTTAATTCCCCTTTATTTCCCCCTTTTTTAGTTAATTGGAAAAATCATTTTCAGAGGTGTTGGTGTTTAGGGCTGTGTAGGAGGGACCTGACCTGAGAGTCATCTGAAGGCTGATACTGCTTATTTGTTTTATAATAAAGGAGGTGAGCAGATTTATTAGGCAACGTCCTATTAGGAAGATGAGGAGGCCTGTTCGTGGTCCTCGTAGGGCTCCCAACCATAGCTCCCA